ATTCATGATAGACTTGGAGAAATATAAAAATCTCTACCTTAGATTGTTTGTGGTTAACAGGGTTAATATTCAGAACATGTTCATTTTCTGTGTGAGAGACACACAGGGACATTGGTGCATCATTTCTTGATGGCTGCCTTGGTCACGTGACTTGGTCACGTGACTCCCCTGAAATGTGAACAGGGTGATATGTCCCTTTAACCTGGAGGTATTAACAGCCAGCTTTCCTACCTTCTCTATTTCCCCTGCTGCTGTGACAGCCAAACTCCAGATAAGGGCTCCAGTATGGCTGCAGTTGGAGAGTAGCTGACTCAGAACCAATCCACAGTGGGGAGTTGGCACACACAAGAAATACACTTGTGAGACTGTGCCCATGTGAGGGTTGTGTTTAGGTACAGCCTTCTCTATTCTGGATCATCAGAGCAAAACAGCATTGGAAAGCTTCTGAAAATACTACACATACCATCTTCCAAAACATTATTTGTTAGCTAGCAATATAATGGTGCCACTTCTGCTCCTGATTCATTCATTTTCTGTCAACCTGACTTTTTATTTTTTTAATAGCTTGCCAAGTCTTTTAGGTGTAAGGAAACACCCGTGAAATCAGGGCCTTTGACGATAATGACCATGAATGAGCTTAAGTAATAAAATTATTGTGTATTGCAGATATCTTTCTACCTTGAACAGTTATGAAGGGAAGTCAATTTTCACTCAAATGGGTTTCTTTTCATCTGGCTTTCTCTACAGTGTTTATGCCTGAGGTTTATTGTTAGCAGTAAAGAGTGTCCAAGTATGTTATGGAAATAGCCAAATTCCCAGTGCTTTAGAATGCATTCCACAGGCCCCAGAGTCAGTTAAAGGCTGATTGATTATACAGCAAATACATCAAACTGATATTTATGAAATATCCCATTTCTTCAGCTCTATCTCTCACAGCCATGAACGTCACATTTGGGAGTTGCAGTGAAAATATCTCAGGCAGCACAGAGGAAAAATTACTGTAGATTTTCTATGACAAGGAAAAGGTTCTTTAAGCCATTCAATAATTTAGTAAAATACCTCTGTCAACTGATGTGTCTCATGAACAAATATCTTAAAGGTATAATTTGACCAGTTTAGTGTGGCTTGTCTATTTGCATTTTCATAATCAACTCATCGAAACACTAATTACATTGCTAAGTAAAGGACAGAGACTGCGAATGAGTGTGCAGATGGACTCTTTCATCTGACTAGTTCGTAACTGACAATGAAGTTTCTGTTTAATTTGTTCAAGATTTGGGCAGAAAGTTGTAGCCTGAGAAGGGAAAATTAGACATGACCTATATCAAAGACGCTGCAGATGTTCCTTCAATGGCTTTAATTTGCCTATTTTGTCAACAATCACTCATTTGTTAATACACTTTCCATAATTTTTGGTATAGCCTATCTTAGATTACAAAATCAGATTCCTATGCACCCTATGCCTTAGCTAGTGTAGGTACTGTTCTCTGGAGGAGACACAGAATGTCTTACCCATTTGAAAAGCCATGCCTTTCACAGTATCCCTTGCCTTTTGATGACACTGGCACTAATAATGTGCCACGATGTACACTGTACATGGCAGCTAGTTTTACTAAGGGCCACGCAATAAAGAAGAACTCAGTAAATATATTTTCTGATTGACTGATCACTATAGGATGCACCAATTTGGGTTTTAGCTGAAGTCTAGAAATTCTGAAAGAGATGTTAAGATCTGAAGGATAAAATAAGCATATTAACCTTCTATGAAATAGATTTATATTTGTAATAGTCCTATTTTGGTTCTGAAAGTGCGACATTTCATTTTTTCTGACATGGAGGTCATCAGAGCTTTTGCTTAATTACTTCTGAAAACAAAGGAGAATTTATCCTAGTGTAGAAAGTGGCTTTGTTGGTAAATTACCCCTAGAATGATTTCAGACCACTTACACTGAATGTATATTGTGTGAAAATTTTCCCCCTTGTAAAATGTGTGGCTTCTCTTTATTTCACTGTTGGGGTCCAACTGATTCACTGGACTTGTTCTAAAGCAGTGATGTGGACTGGGTATCAGCATCTCCTAGGAAGTTATGCAGTCAGAACTGTGATTTATCTTCATTCTCCCTATGGTATAAAACCCCATGCAACTAAACACAATCCTGCCTGAACCGAAAGAGAGCCATGTGCTCCTTCTGTTTCCCTATCGTTCCACATGCATGAAAGAACAGCTTCCCAAGGAGGTAAAAATAGTCCACTGTCCGCTGGGTATGAGCTGAAACATCCACATAAGGAGTAGGCATTCTGTCCAGGTTCCCAACTGTGAATACCATTGAGTTAGATTTGTGTATCCTTCAAACCAGTGGAATAAGCAGAATATCCTGGAAATAGGCCACCCCTTTATATGTGTGTCTTATGATATTCCCCACTTGGGCCTCATCAACCATCAGCCTCCTAAGTGGAAGGAAGCCGGTGACAGGCAACCTTCCCTGCTACCACATGCTGCTGATGTTGCCCGGAGAAGAGCAGAAACAGAGACTGAATAAGTTGGTTGGTTTGATTTTAATGTTTTTTTTTTTTTCTTTTCTCCTTGCCTTGAAAGCTCACTGCATTTTGCTGCTGTTATCACCAAGGGTTCATTGAAAATAAAACTGGGATATTTTGGTGGGGTTTTGCAGCAAATAGACAAAACAGGTTTAGGCAAGACTGGGCTGTTCACAATCTAAAGTGAACTGAGCAGTAGCCATTTCTTTGCTGGGGCAAACGGGGCATAATTTATTCAGCAGCAGTAGAGGCTGGAAGCCCATCTGGCTTTGACCCATTTATCTTTAGAAAACTAATTGAAGTGGAGAATCTGGTTTACTGTTGTTATGGAGGTTTTACTTTTCCTGTTTTGTTCAGGCCAAGCAAGGATGGAGGGTGTGTGTGTGTGTGTGTGTGTGTGTGTGTGTGTGCGTGTGTTGGGGTAGAAGATGGCACATATCAGTTCCACCTAAAGACAGTGGCTGAGGCTCTTAATAAAGCAGTTTCTTAAATGCAGCTTGACATCCATTTGAAATGCAAAACAGCAGAGCTAGCCAGATGCAGACTTCTTTGAGGTGACAATGAAATGCCATGGCAATTTAAAATGAATAGTTTCCCAAACCCTTACAACCAAGACTTCCTAAATCACGCCAAAATGGACCCAAAGAGGTGTGGAAGAACTTTTTTATGGCTAGGATTTTACTCCCAACCTTGTATTACTTTTAACAGGAACTCATGCCAGTTGTTTTGTCTCTTTTGTTTTAAACCAACACAAAAATGTGCTTTTTTTTTTTTTTTTTTTTTTTTTTTCTCT